CGGCCCGGCGCTCGGCTCCCGTGGGTCACGTGGAAGAACGAGCGTCGCGACCTCGTCGTAGCGAAAGGAGTTGGCGGTAGTCGGCCACTGCGATCGGCGGCGTAGGCGGAGACAGATTAGAGAGCCGCGGGCAGTCTTTCCCGATCGCTATCACCGCCTTTACTTCGAAGAGTTTCGAACTGCCCGATCGGGCTGCCACGTTTTTCGATACGAGTGGCGAGGAGGTGACGAAAGTGTCGATCGTCCGCAAACGTCTCAGCCTTTCCGCCCGCTTTCCTTCTCGTCACCCGACAACAAGAAATGGCCAGAGCTCTCCATCATTTGAGTTGCTTTCCCTCTTCCATCTAGGCTATCCACACCGTAGCTGCGAGTCCGCGACGAGCGCGCGCTCCTTAGGGGAACCCTTGGCGCTATCAGCGTGGCGGCGGAGTCGGCCCGGCGATGCGCCTTAATTAAAAAAGGGTCTTGGCACGCCCCCGAGTTTTGCGGGAGACTTTAATGCGTCCGACGCGTTTAATTACGGGCGCGACGCGAGCGTTCGGCCTCCTCAGGCACTCCCTGGCCTCCTCTATACTTACGTACGCACGCGGGCAGCGAATCTCGGAGCGTTTGTGAAGTGTCGAGGGGGGACCCGAATGTTGTCGACAATATTTACAAAGACACCGGGTGAGCTTATAAAACGGGTCGTTTTATCACGAATCTGGGTGTAAATAAAACGCTCGATTCTAACCACTGAAAGTCGGAGAGTCAGTAAGTTTGACTCCATTATTAAAGTAGATTTCTAGATTTGGGAGCTGCGGCTTCATTTCACCCTTTGTTGTCGAAGAGATAAATGTGACGCTGAGCGTATACTTAGTGTCACATTCGTCTGGGGCGCGCGCAGCACCGAGAAAGTGCTTCCCCCCAAGGCCACGCCACTGTGTAGGCGCATCCCACGACGCATTACCAGGCGAACGCGAAGCCTCCCGCCGTGAGACGCGCACGGTGCCTCCACAGTAGGGAGAGCACCGGCAGAAAGTAAGCAGCCGCCAGGAAGAGCCCTTACGATTCAACCTCTCCTTGGCCCCTGGGATAATGAAGCCCGTGCTTCGACAACTACGAACGCCCTTCTACGCTTCCTTACAGTAACATACCTCGACAAGAGACTCCAACATGTTGCACTGAACTCTATCTCACGTGTATTTTATGTGCACTTTTAATCTGGAAGTCTAATTCTTTTTTATTGTTTTTACTCTTTTTTTTTATTGTTCTATATTTCCCATACCCTTACCCCATCCCCATCAGAGTAGCCAGTCAGGAGAGTATCTCCAGGCTGATTTTTTTACTTCCTTTTTTTCTACCTCAATAATAATAATAATAATATTAAAAAAAAACATCATGACATAGCCCAATAAAAAGAAGAAAATTGAAGGAGGCTTTTTCTATGATAACTCTGGCGCTAGGAATTCCAGCTCTTTTGTCGATAACGACAGTGAAGGTTCTGAAACATTTTCTGCGCCTTTCTCGATCTTAAATGCTTCCATTATTTCTCGTCTTTGATTGTCCTTGTGTGAGCCAAGCACTGTGGTGTTTTAGAAGCTAGGGGTGCAATCATGGCAGATGCGACGGTGCACAACAATTGGATGGTAAGAGTCAGATGGTTGCCGTGGTGTCCGCAGTAAAGTTGACATTTGGCCTAGTTGGTAGTCTAACATATTGAGGTATTTAGCGCACAAGGTAGAGAAAAGAAGGACAGGACAGAAAAGAGCGCTACTCACAACTACGTCTACTGACAATAAAAGAAAGAAAAAAGAAAACACCCCAAGTAATCCGCCGCGGACTCGTGCATCTGCCACAGCCCCGTGAATGACAGCGGCTAGTTCATCCAGGCTTGTGCGGGCCCTTCATTGTTTGTTCAAGGAATTCCCTCTGCTTGTTTGTTAGCGTTACGGATTCAACGTTAATGCAGTTCCTGTCCTCACGAAGGATGTAGAAGGCCTCCAATACCTCGCGGGTCAATTTGTCTTTGTTCTTCCCCAAGATATTGGTCTCTCGGAATAATGGTCTGCACGCGCATTCCCTGCAATGGAGAGGAAAATTTCCGCCCACTGTAGCCTTCAAGGAGTAATAATGCTCCCGGAGTCGGTCATTGAGGCATCTGCCCGTTTGGCCTACGTAGCTCTTGCCACAGGAAAGAAGTATCTTATGTACAACGGCCGAAGCGCATGGTAGGAATTCGTTTGCATGCTTCTTGGTGCACGTGGGTTTTGTGGTACCCTCAGCATGTGCATGTGATGACGACGACATGGGTTGTTGTTATTGGGGAGGGTGGGCAGTACGATTCGCAGAAGTCCAAATTTCGTGGAGGCGGGTTGGGGGCAGGTCAGCAGCGAGCTATGGGATCTGAGGCCCTACGTAGCGCTTTTTGCACTCCCACGGCGACTGGAGAGGAGGAAGTGACGTCAACAACGCAGCAAACCCAGAATGGATGTTGATTGGTGAATGTCACTGATGAGGAATTTCCGTAGAAGAAAAAAAAGCTCCTTTTTTCTTTCTTTTCTTCTGCGGATATTTGTCATCAGCGACTCTCACCAGTTAACATCCAATCTGCGTTTGCCGCGTTGTTGGCGTCACTTCCTTGTCCCTAGTGGCCGTGGGAGTCCAAAAAAGCTCGAGGTACACCTAAGCATTTCTTATGAGCAGTGAGTGCGAAAGCACGCAAGCCGCTCGTCCGCTCCCTTTGCCGTCTGCTCGTCCGCTCCCTTTGTCGTCTGCTGCGTACTAGCTCGCGCGCGCTTCGGGATCTTGGAGGCCATGGCGCAGCGGCCAATGGGAGCACCGTTGACGCGCGCCAACCAATGCAACCGAAGGCGAATCGCTCCTATGGGGATGGCGGAAACTAGGAGCCGTTTTCGCGCTCCAAACTGGTGACGTCAGTTCACTCCATGAAACAGTTAATTCTTTCGCATTAAAAGCGCAACATAGGGCCCCTGGCACGCCATTCGATCGGTGCATGAAGGAGCCCCAGGAACATGATGGCGCTGTTGCTCACTGGGGTCCACTGGGGTCGAAGCATCAGGCTCCAAGGAGGTAGCCCAGTCAAAGTAGAAGCTGCCTCCTCTGAGGAACCGAGGCCCAGGGCTCAGAGTGAGGCACCGCCGTCGCCCGGTGTGTCATCCTCTCAACGTCGTCGCCGTCATCTTGTTTATCCAACGCAATCTGTTATGTGTACATTAGTTATGTTTATGCCAAAAATCCCAAGACGACCATATCTACGAACGTGGTGTCACATCTCCAACTAAACAAACCCGAAGAAGCTGATAACTCTCTAAACTCAATTCCCGCAGAAAAAACGAAAACGAGAAGGATCACCGCGAAACACGCGCGAGATTTCGTAATAAATGAGCTCGTTGTATCCGGGGCTCGGAGCGAAGCGGGCTCTACGTGGCTCTGCCGGCCGGATAGATTCGCTGACGCCCTTCTCCTTTTTTCGATCGCCTCCCTTCCGTCTTTGATTGAGTGCGAAGCAGCAGTCCGAAAGGACTGCGGGGATTCCAGCGGAAAACGGGAGAAAGAAACAAAAATTCGGACGTTATCGGGAAAAAAAGGCATTGTCCGAACTGGGGTCGCGGATTTTCTGGGGCTTTTGGAAGATTGGGACGGCGTGCTTCTTACATGAACACGAACAACGTCGAATAATTCTTGGTCACTCGCTCAACGACGCGTTCGGAGAGGGATGTGCGACGAGCGATTTGGCCAGCCAACTCAGCAGTCAGACACAGGAGAAACCTTCCTCTCTAGTAAGCTTGTGCGGACCCGGCAAAGTTACCGAAATTGGTCAGACGAACGAGCACTCGCACGAAAAATGTTCGAAGAAATGGCGCAATGAAGAGTGCTTTGAAACGTAGCGCCATCATATGTAGAACTTTTCCAACCCTGGGAAAGTTCCCAGAGTTGGATTTCGGCCGCGCGCCACGCGGCCAAAATCATTGAACCCAGAGGCCACAGCTCAAACGTCCGAATGCCCTTCCGAATTTTGACGCAGCGCTCGTGCCTGCTGGATGCATATCTGCTCGAAGTTGCCCTTTTTGACCACCTTAAAATTATCATGAAACGGTATCGGGTTAGAAGGGTCATGACTTTGCGGAGGCGTACTGGTCCTATAGTCTGGCCCAAGTATACTCGCACAGGCCGCCACTGATACAGAAGCGTTTGGGAGACTATTTGTTTTAGTCTTGCCTTCGCAAAGCTTGATGACGTAGTTGGGGGATCAAACCATTGCCTGGCGGCAGTCAAGCGCGGCTCATGGATTGCACACGAGAACAGCGTGAGCACTTTGACTCGTAACAATCAATGCGTCGTCGGACACTCTGGTAGTGGCTCGTGTGTCCAACCCGTGCGGTGATGAAGATAGCCGCGAAATCTAACAATGCCTGGAGCTCAGCACGCGTTTTCTACTTTGCCAACCGGAGCGCGTGGGTATGATTAACACTGGCGGCATAGGGTAGGCACGAGGCCACGTGGTTACTTGTTGTGGCTTGGAGTTGAGAAAATGAAAGATGCTCATATTGGTCGAATATTTTTGGGCGACTGCCCTATTGCCTAGAAAGAAAAACTAAGGCAAGTTCATTAGGTTATTAACGTTAGGGAGCGATTCCAAGTAGTTTAGCGTGACTGACCTGGGGCTATGGGCCTGGTGACTGTCCTGGGGCTTCGGGCATCAAGACACCCAGAGTGTTTCGTGGTCCTTTCAATCCGCGGTGTAAAGCTGCTCAAACAGAAGCCACTGTGTTCGCTGCGGATGTGATGACACCTGCGGACACGCCTGAAGCACATTCCAAGCATGCTTGCTTCCTACATGCTTTGACCATGTCTGCAGAAAGGCGCCCATTGTGACAGCTCATATAAACAGACAGTGCTTGCCGACTTTTTTTCTTTTTTTTTAATGAGGTATGAGCAGTGTGCCCGCGGCTTTAGCGGTGCAGTTTCTCATTCAGTCGCGTCCTCTCCTCCAGCTCCCGCAGGCCTTAGCGGCATGGCCCCCGGGGAGTCCAGCTTGGCCCGGATGGCGGCGATGCATCGCCGCTTCGTCTTGCTGCTGCTCTGCCTGGTCACGGCCCTGGGAGGCACCGGGGCCGACTCCGACGACGGGCCCGACCCCGCGGCGCTTCCGTGCACGGACTGCGATCCGGACGGCGGTGGCGGCGATGGCGGAGTGGTGTACCCGACGGACGAAGACGGCGCCCCGACTTCGCCGTCGCCCTGGGGTGACGCCTCGTCGGAAACCTCGCCCGCAGCCACGACCCCGGGCCCGACCGAGCCGTACGCGCCGGCGGTGGAGTACACCATCCGAACCGGGAAGATCAACATCACGGTCAACGGGACGCGGACCAGCCTCAGGGTGAGTGGGGCGGACTCGGAGAGGAGGCCCCAGTTTTCGCCGGGTTCGGTTCCGCGCTTCTGGCCGGAACCTTCTCCGCTATATTTCCGACGATGTATGTTTCGGTGCCTCCCTTTTATGGTTCCTATTTTGTGATGACACCACAAGAAATATTGATAACCAGCGACGATTTTGATGGTGTGTATAAGCGCCTGGCCCTTTAGTAGTAGTAATTACGTCCTTAAACCAGCAGCGTCCAAGTTGACTGTCTGACACCCTTCTTATTTTTATTGATGAAAGTAGAATTAATCCTACTCAAGACGTCACAGTTAGCGTTCCGTTTATTAGCGCCGAATAATAATTGGGGCTGTGTGGATATTTATAAAGCGTGTAGTTGGTCAGCCATTTCAAAGTTGCGACGAGTCACTCGCTTTGGATGAGCAATTTAACCAGTCCACTACAACCGCTAGTTTGGAGTCTTTAAAGTGCACCACGCAGTAGTGATACACGACCGCACGCCGGTACTATGCTCATCGAGATCAAAACGGGCAGGGGTGGGGATATTAGCCCCGAGGTGTTTCGGTGGCGCCGACTTGGGGTTTCCATCCGTGAGGTCACGACCAGGATTCGCCTCGCCGTGACGTCACGAGTTGTAACCCTGATTACTTACCATCAGTTGCGAAGACGTGGGAAGCTTACCGCAGCGAGTTTTTGGTGACGCACGTCGCAAATAGTGGCTGCTGAGGCAGAGAAACGAGAGTACTGCTCGAGGCGGGGATTTCAACACGAGGCCAGGGACATATTAAAGCGGTCGCACTGCTTGGAACTCCATGGAGCGAATTATGCGACGAATGACTGAAGAACGCCGCCCGACGGCACGCTCGCTTCTCGCTCGACATAGCAGCCACTGTGGTGATTCCACGCGCAGAGTAAAATCCGCCGGGCAACATTCGTCGATTTTTCATATTCGTCCCATGGAGTTCAGCCTTTAGAGGAATAAAAACAGTGGCTTAGCTCGGCTATGCCAGGATATACGTAGCGTAAGCTTAGGTTCAGCTGGTTATTCTTAGCTTTCCTGGTTGTCTACGACTAGCTTGATTATCATGCTTACTGTTGCTTCAATGACACACAACAGAGCCGTATATGTGGAGTGTCTGGTCAATGGGAGGCGCGGGCAGAGCCAGGGCGTGCGGCAGACTCGAAAAGAAGGCTTGGCATGCACTCTTGACCAACCAGAAGCCGAAAAGAATCTCCTAGCGGTGGTAGCGAGAAACAGTTCTGATCGAAGGTATATGTTCGTATATGGTTTTAATAAGTGCCTAAGAGTGAAGTGTAGTACCTCTTTGTGGTTGAAAATAGGGTGCACGTGTTGTTTTGATCATGATCATGCAGAAAGATGTAAGAGACGAATGCGCCGCTCAACACTGTTTTGCGCGGACAGAGTGAGACCGCTCGGACGACAGATTCCTGGATCTCGGCGTTTGGCGTACGGATTATGTCAATCGTTCCGCTAGTCGCACTCTTCCACAATCATTCTGGATGAGCGTGATTGAAACATCACGTGTACTATATTTTCAGCCATCGAGAGTTACTCCAATGGTTTGTTTCTCGCGACCACCGCCAGGGTATTATTTCCGGCTTCTGGTTGGTCACATTCGAATTTCTGAAGACGCCCTGGAACACGCCCAGTCCGCTTTCGGCCAATGACGCCTCCTCATTTGTCTCCTATACTTCCCAACGAATAGCCAAACTCTCTACATATACGTCTCTGACGCACACACGGTATACGCATTATGTGATAATGTGGATGCTTGCGCAAGTTGGTAATTTATGCTTGGATGGAACAGCGCGGATGAACAGTCACACTCACATGCACACAAGAAGGAGACAGACTCGCAGCGCTGACTTACAACTCAGTCCTATATTTCTTCTTCCTCAAATCTTCAACTTCTTCACCTTTGCCGTTAATGAGAACAATTTAGATTTTACACACCAGAGACCAAATAGCCAATAAACATTAGTAAATAACCAATAATTAAATAAACAAAAGACAACTAAAATACTATTAAAAAAATTAAATTAAAAACTAAAAATTAAGCGAAAAATTTTTCATCACTCTTGGTGCTTTCATGACCCCCCATCTCTAGATAATCCAATTCTTTCTTTGACAAAGCTAAGGATTATACACTAGCACATTGGTTGTTCAACCTGGCTATTTTTTCAGCTTCGATGATCTCTCTTCTCAGCTGATTACCACTTCTGGCAATGAAAGTGCAGTTACTCAGGTCCACTGAACACTGTCATTGCCAGAAGTGGTAATCAGCTGACAGATGCAAAAACAGCGGGGACATCAAGCTCTGTGGGGACTTCAAACTAACAGTCAACGCGGCCACGAAGACGTAACAGTACGCCCTGCTCAAGGTGGAAGATATTTTGGTGCACTAAACGGTGGGGAAGTCCTCAGCACCCTCGACATTAGAAATGCCTACAATCAGCTGGCTTTGGACGTAGAATCTCGCAAGATGACGCTGCTTAACACCCACAAATGGATGTTTTGCTTCAACAGGCTTTCATTCGGGATTGCGTCCGCGCCTGCCCTATTTCAGTGTCGGATTGTACCCCGCGTGAATGATCTGTCGGGAGTACAAGTGTATCTGGACGATATCATTGTCGCAGAAAAGAAAAATGATGACACTGTCCTCCGGCCGAGTGCTTCAGCGATTGCGAGCCAGTGGACTGAAAGTCAACCGAGAGAAGTGCAAGTTTCGAGAAGAGGAGGTGACATGTTTAAGGTCATCGCATTGACTCCAGAGGTCTGCACCCCAAAGGAGGCAACTTGACCGCAACGGCCTAGGCACAGAGGCCGACTTCTGTGACCGAGCTGAGGTCTTTCCTTGGCCTACAGTAAAGTTTTGTTTAATATGTCAACGAAGTTGACGCTTCTGTACAAGCTTCTAGTTAAAGGCACAAAATGACAGGGGGGAAAACAACAGGAAGTGTCGTTCACCGGGACAAAGAAGTTGTGAAGACTGCGGGTTTCCTAGCGCATTTCGGCCACGGTGGAAGAAATACATTTAGGTGGTGGCTCTGGCCGCTCTTCCCGCGGGGAGCGAGGAACCAGATCGTGTTCGGAGCTAGCCTCGAACCTGGAGTAGTTAGCTCTGCGCCGCCGCGGAGGGTGCTGAGGTATGAGGTCCCTCCTCGGCGGCTACGGTGTCGGCGGCGTAGCGGGCTCGCCTTTTTCGCGGTGTGGTGGTGTGCGGCCAGTAGCCGGCCTCATGCTTTGCTTTGGTGCTGTGTCGATCACCGGTGCCACCATAGTGCACGAAGGTGAGCCTTAACCCAAAGAAGAAGTTATGTTATAAAGATGAAAAAGACGTTCTTCATTCCCAACTGCAATTCGGGGTACCGAAACTGCGCAGAGCGAGTGTCCTTGTTTAAAGCTCCATCGAATGACGCTCGCCTGGAGCAGTGGCGTCGTGCAATCCCGAGGGCCGATAGCAAGTTACTACCTAGTCTGCTCATCTCGTTGACCAAGTGACGACCAAGCTTCACCGTCTAATTTCTGTCGAAGACTGGGAATGCGATGTCTGGACAGAAAAGGCTGAAGGAACCAGGGCTGTGGACAGCATACTATATTATGAAACTGGGTTTTTGAGTGCGAAAATAAAAAAAAAAAGCTAAACGCTGCCCTGCATGCCGATCCGCTTTCGGCATCGAAATCATCGACAAGAACACTTCTGCTGAAGCAGCACTGACAAACGTGAAGAGCAGAGGAGGTCTTATACACCCCAACAAGAACCTCTTCCAGCTAGTGAAGAAAGCGGAACAGTTCTTACTGGAAAATAAAAGCCACCAGACTTCTTACTGGGACACTATCGATAGTGTTCTTGACAGATGCACAATAACATTTCCATGCGCTGAACAAAAAGACGAAACGATTGCCCAGTTGCTCCACTACAACATCAGCATGCGAATGCGACAACACTGTAAGCATATTACCATGAGTTGGAACAAACAAGCTCAAGAAAAGAAGAAATAAGCAAAGCAGCGCTCGTCTTAGTTTAAGAGCATGGGCGATAACCACAGGGTGTAGGAGATGGTGTTCTTTGGTAGTATGCAGTGAATTCAGCTTTTGTATACATTTTAAAGCAAAAATATTTGTCAGGTATTTTTTTACCTGTAAGACGGTGTGACACCATATTGTGAGTACAGATGAAAAGTGATATATGTCCTATAACCGCTACTACCGTTTGTCTTTCAGCCACTGTGTCATCATGTCAGTCAATATGTCATCATACTAGTGTCATCATTTCGGTCACTATGTCATCATAAATATAAAGTTTTTCTGCTGACAAGGCTTGTATGTTACCCAGTAGAAGTTAACAGACAACTAGGTCGTCACTTTGTTACCAAAGGAAACTAAACGCAAGTAACGCGTTACTTGTAACGCGTTACCTACGAGTTCTCTAGAGCGCAGAGACTGATATTCCAAGAAAGAAGACGCACGGTAGTAGTTGTTGTTTTCTCTCGGAGAGCGCGCATGCGCAGTGTGTCGGAGCACAACCGATTTCAGAGTCAAATCGGCGATTCGCCTCGAGTTGCGCGTCTTTCGCAGAATCGGTCAAGGCATTTCTGGGCGCGTGATGCAGGCAACCAGATGCACGGCTCTCTCTAGGAGCCCTAATCTCGTTTCCGACTTAGCTCGCTCGTTCAGGTTTACTGCGCTAATTAAGCGCAAGGTGCCAGAACGGCTTTCCGTATTTACTTCTTACCTTTCCTAAGAAAGGCTGTTTCGCTCGGATAAGAATAATACGAGTGACGCGGAGAAAGGCGGGCCCATTAGTACTAGTTCGATTAGGGGCGCCATAAAGGGCCTTAAACTGCCCAATTTGTGTTATCCGCGCCACTCCGGGCGTGCCACGCGCGGTCAGCCGGCGTCTTGGTAAAACGCTGGCCTCTGCATTCCGGCCGGTTAAGCAATTATTTCTGAAAGGAGTTTTCTGCAATGCAAATGAGAA